AAATGTATCTACATAGAAAGTTCAAAATTAATATCCATCATCAGGATGACCGGCAGCGCTATAGACATCTGTTAAATGAACCATTTCTGCATTTGTTAATCAAATGCCGAAGGTTTTAGCACACCTTGTTCCCTTGCTTTTACGCATTATTATTACGTATATAGATGGCCGGAATCCAGAAAGAAGATGCTCACGAGCAGACATGTGTATCAACAAGATATGATTCCTTTCCAAAAGAGATGTAGGTTATAGCATGCCTAAGGGGTATTTTGCTGGTTTTTATCGCCCAGACACACAAGTGTGCAATAAACGTAGAATACCTACGTACCAGTAAGCTTTATTAACCCTTAGCGCGCATGCTCAGCGAGGGTTACTGTAGTTGTCATGTGTGTCTGTCTGTCTGTCTGTCCGTTACCCAACATCTCACTTCACGAGCCATGAATCGCTCCACAAACAATACCAGCGTCGGGTATAGGTCGAAAAGTATGTAGGGTATTTTCTGTATCGACTCCCGCATAGTATCTACTGCGTGTCAGACTGTTCGCGAGCTACAAGCGGGAGACCATGAGTATTATTAGCCCAGCCCATCAAATTAACGGTATCGTGCATGCGCAGTTCGCCGAGGGTTTACACTTTATCGCCAACAGTTGCACCATTACCATGGTAAACTGTGACATCAAGCAACGAATTAGTGTTTTTCTTCAGTACAAGCTAATGTTAGGATGGCATTCAGACATGGAGTGAATGTATTCAATGGCTCAGCCAAAGTAGAATCGTCGAAACAGGCCAACTACAGCTGTTAACTGCATTCACTTGGTGTTTCAACAAGGGATAAAAACAATGTGTTTTTCGCGGTCTGGCGATAGATTCATTTGCATGGGGTGTTCCATCTCGTGACAAGGCTACATATATGACAGTATATTTGGCCCTTTTTGTTCAGGTCTACAGCACTTCAAAGTATACTAAGTTCTTTTGCGCATGCGTGGGCACATGCCATACACAAGCACACCTCCGCTCATCATGTGAACACCCTCGGCCTAAATTTTTGCTCAGACGGGATACGCACGTTATTTTGGGAAGAAATCAAAATTCGTTATTACTCAGTGGAGAGGTGACCCAAAACCGCGAACAGCGAGAGGAGTGTTGAGTCACTGTCAGAGGTACTACGCAAATGACTGATATCTCAATCAACGACCTGCATAGCCTTGGAGACTCAAGCAGTGGAGTCGATAGTACCGCCGGCGCCATTTTTTCAGCCCCACACGTGACTCATTTTCCCGCCATTCCGGAGATGCAACCGGGCCCCTCCCACAAGTTGGGTAGTCAGGACAAGATTGGGAGCTCCTTTTCCTACACACCTCTACCGCGATCTCGAGCACCCACAGGTTGGTATTAGATAAGGGCGCACATAAGCCCAACAACCTTCTCTGGTTGCTGTGAGCCTGATATTATGACCCACACTTGGTCTGCCCCGCAGCTGGTTTTTAGAGGCCAACAGTGTCCATAACCACGCTGATAAAAAGATATCAATGCTGGCCTTGAGCCCAGCGATCTTGTAGGGGCGTGGTCTATGCCGGCCACATTCCCATGACAGCTATTATGACTGCCTAGGTGCAACAGCCTATAACCAGCTGGTGGAGTAACAGCCCAGTACTGGCACCCCTTAGGACAGCCCTAGATATGCCTCTTCAAGCCAGGGCCCCATCAAGGGTTACACTAGCCCACCTCCTATATCAAACCCAGGTGATGAAGGAGGGGACACTGGGAAGGTTCCCAAGACAAGGACGAGGAACTGGACTATTACGACTCTGCCCCAGTGAAACAACTTGCACCTGGAGTTAAGGGCTTCATGGAGAAGGCATTCTCCAGGTGCATGCCCAGGACCAAGAGGCGCCAACTGGCCAGCGACTACCCTCGACCTGACACACCGGCAACCACGACACCCAAGCTGGAAATGGTGTTCAGGAGTGCACTAAGGAAGACCACAACTGATCATTCGGACGAACAGCTGGTGATAGCCCAATCGGCGGTCCTAGCACAGGCACTCCTCTAGACAATCTGTGGTCGCACATGGAAACCCAGGGCCTCAAGTGTAGAAGTGGAGAGATGATGCCTACCAAAGATGTCGTACGGGTGATGAGACACCCTGGAACTACTGGGTAACGCTTCCTGTTACATCTCCAGGCTTCGTAGAATCCAGTTTATCAGCAGCATAAGCCCTACAGTTGCGAAGCTATACGTTAGGTGACGAAGGATACTGACTGCGGCAAAGGTGCTGAGCTCTTCGGTTCAGACATTCAGAAGATGATCACCAGGGCCGACACCATTGACACCTTCAACAAGGCCGTGTCCAAAGTGGAAAGAACAGAGTTTCAATCCATCCCTCCGGACAGACCTCCCCCAGCGGAGGTGGCGCTGAACCAGGAACTGGAACAGGCGCTCTCTTTAGAAGTGGAGAACCTGGTCAAGAAAGTCGCAATAGCACAGACTACAGCGTCAGACGGTTCTTCAGCCCGATCTTTGTTGTTCCCAAGAAAGACGGAGGCTGGCACCCCGTGATAAATCTCATGGCCTTGAACCAGTTTGTGTACAACCCCCACTTCAAAATGGAAAGCATCACATCACCCAAAGACATCGTCCGGAGAAGGGACTTCATGGGTCGCCTCGACTTGAAGGACGCATACCTGACAGTCTCAGTGACAAGCAAACATTGGAGGTTCTTGAGATTCAGATGGAGGCGCCAGGGCTACGAGTTTCGAACCATACCCTTTGGGCTGGCCTCAGCCCCGAGAGTATTCACCAAGTTACTAAGACCGGTAGCAGCAACACTGCAGAGAAAAGGGGTGCGTCTATTGGTCTACTTCGACTACATACTCGTCATGGCTCAGGAGAAGACAACCCTCGAGAAGAACCTGACAGAACTGACTGATACACTCTCGTCGAAATCGATATTCGAGCCGTCCCGGCAGATCGAGTTTCTCGGCTACATAGGGGACTCAGAGAGGATGCTCCTACTCCTCCCTCAATGAAGGCATGTCGACACACGCTCAAGCCTCATCTCCAAGAAGACTTAGCACAGCTGGTCAGATTACCAACCTCCACATTGCCACCGATCACACCAGCACCTCTCCACTACAGAGCCCTACATGCACAAGGAAACTGGCACTCAGGAAGAACTCGAGCTACGATAAATCCTGCCACTTGCTGACAGAGGCAAAGAAGGACCTGAGGTGGTGGATCAAGAACCTTCCTCGGTGGAACGAACGAGGCATCATGCCACCATCACCAGACATGGTCCTGACGTCAGATGCTTCACAACGAGGGCTGGGGGGGGGGCCACATGCAAGGAGACTTGAACAGGCGGCATGTGGTCGGTGGAGGAGAGACTGTTCCACATAAATTACCTAGAACTGAAGGCAGCCTTCCTGGCCCTTCATGTGTTCGCCTCACAGAAGAGGAATGCCCATATCCTGTTACAACACCACGGCTATAGCCTACGTGAACAAGCGGGGGGGACACACTCACAGACTCTCTCCAACCTAGCTATTCAAGTGTGGGAGTGGTGCCTGAACAGGAAGCTCACGATCCAGGCAGAGAATATCCCAGGGAGAGAGAACGAGGGGACAGACAGGAATTCAGGAAGGGTGCAGACTCCAGCGACTGGATGCTACACCTGGAAGATCTTCAGGGAACTCAACACCAGATGGGGCAGGTTCGATGTGGACCTCTTTGCGGTACGACTGACGAGGTTCTTCAGCTATCACCTGGACCCACTGGCGTGGCAGTCAATGCACTGAGTCAGACATGGACGAATCTTCACCCCTATGCGTTCCAACCATTCATCCTTCTCGGCAAAATACTCCAGAAGATCTGGAGAGCGTGGGAGATGCTCCAATCCTCCTTCCCCATATTCTGGACCAGTTAGCGGGACCAGCAGGAGAGCACCACATCATCATAGAGGAGGACCGCTTGCATCTAGCCGCCTGGAAAGTCTCAGGACAAGCATCGGTGAGAGAGAATTTTCAGAAGCGGCTATCGGCCTCATTGCGGCCTCCTGGAGACCAGGCACTGAGAAGTCGTACAATAGCGCTTAGAGGCAATGGTGTAGCTAGTGTCACAAAAGGAAAATTCGTCCCTTTCCAACTTCTATAACTCCAATAGTGGAGTTTATCACACACTACTTCCAGGAGGAGAAGCAATACTCCACTCTGAATTCCTACTTCAGCAACGATTCCTCCAATAGAATGCAGGCCAGTGGGCCAACATCTGCTCGTGTGCACTACAAGGGTCATTTAATCAGCGACCACCAAAGCCAACGTACACTACGACATGGGATGTCACGTTGGTGGTGAGATTCCTCCAAGATAACATGGGGAACAACCAGACCCTAAGCCTGAAACAGTTGTCGTTGAAGGTGACCACCTTGCTGGCACTGGCCAATGCCACAAGGTCATCAGACTTGGTGGCACTAGACACCCAGAGGGGGTACTGCTCAGGATACCGGGCCTGACTAAGACTCCTCGGCCAGAGTCCCCCAGAACCATGTCAGTGGAAAAGTTCGAGGACGAGAGGATCTGTCCAGTCCTTACACTGGAGCACTAAAACTACCAGCTTCACATTTTTCTGAAGCAGTACTGGGTGGAAAGAAAGGTATATCCAATTCTTTGAACAATACACTGTCATATACTCAGCCTTTTCACAAGATGGAATTGAAGATTTCACAAGGATCTTTGGATCTGATGTGAAATCAGAATGCCGTTAGTGACAAGGCAAGTATATGACAGTCCCACCCAAGGTCACAGTGGTTCTTACCTTACCCAGACTTTCTTTCCACCATAGATTAGTTCAGCTTTTTACTATGCTGTCATACAGCCAAGTATCCTATCAGTGACGGCGAATCTCTGTTGTATCCTGCATTTTGACATCTGCACTTCCATATATCATACACCACATCAACTATTAACCTAGGACGAAGTCATTTGCAAACATATCGTCGATAATGCGTTGATTGCATTGATTGGACAAAACTCGGTACCTTCCTAAAAATTGAGTGCCGGAGGTGTTCACGTGTTGAGCGGAGGTGTGCCCGTTCATGGCACATGCCCACGCATGCACAAAAGAACTTGGTATACTTTGAAGTGCTGTAGATCAGAGCAAAAACCGCCAAATACACTGTCATATATGCAGCCTTGTCACTAATGGAATTCTGATTTCACTAAAGATGCTTGTGAAATTAAAAATTGTCCTAGGACAAATTCATTCTGAGTAGCTAAGGAATTGAACCTGCTGTCGCTCCCTAATAAGTGTTTTTCCGATTTGTCCACAAGTTATTTCATCAAACTCTAGTACTAATAACTGCAACATCTTCCTGCTCCCTAACAGCAGCCCTGCAGATTATTAACCCTCGGTGTCCATGCGCAGCAAGGGTTATAGTACTTGGTTTATCATTCCATCCGTCCATCCGTCTGTCTTTCTGCTACCACGTTTTCTGTCACCACGCGCAACGAGACAACAAAATAGCAATTCCAACAGGTTCATTTCTACACTGGCTTGATTTTATAAATATCGATTTTCGTAGAAGTACTGCGTTCTGGCATGAAAAGCAAGTGAACAAGCCAATATGCTAATTAACACTGGCTTACCTCGACCTTGATCCTCTTGCTCTGTGTACGTCGGAGGCACAAGAAGCCACAACGAAGGGTGTGTATCGACTCCCGCATGCTATCTACTATTGTAGCTAGCCCGTATCAGACTCTCCGCGAGCTTCTAGCAAGAGACCACGAGTAAGCGCATACCGATAGGCCCATCCATCAATTAGCGGTACCACACATGTGCAGTTAGCCAAGTGTTTGCACTTCAGTGCTTTTCATTTGTATACACAGCAACACTTTGCAACAGGAATTAGGCTTAATAAACGATTTAAATTTTCTCTTGTGCAATATGAGTTCAAGAGATGTTCAATTTTCTTTGCAGAGTCAAGTTGCTTCAAGACCAAGTGGCAGTAGAAGATGCAGATGAATTCTTGGATGGCATGTTTAATTCTCAACCCCAAGTTGTGTAAGTTTGAATTTCGTGTTTCATGCTGCCTATGTACATATATATTACGCAGTTATTGCCAGTATACACAAGCTATGTAGCGTTTGAAGTGTATATGCATACTGTATATTTCGCATGGATTATGTAAAAAAAAACATTAACGGTATGTGCTATACCAGTCATACGTATATACATAGAAAAATCCCACATTGTGACAACCAGGTATGTAGGCCTACTTTGCCTGCGAACAAGGCCACAGCTACAGCAGTTGAATCCGAAATTTACAGGAAAGTAATATGCATTTGGCTGTTGCAAACTACATATTATCGGTAATGGTTGCCACTGTTTTGTTATGCAGGGAAGAGAATTATGATTTTGTTGACGGGGAACCAGCTCCTCATTTCATCCGCACAATAACGGGGGACTTGCTCCTGATGCCACATCAAACTCTTTGCTGTGGTCAAATTGTCTCTGAGGCTGCTCTTACAAGACTGGAAACCGACCAGTGCCCGTTTTGCCAGAAGGAGGGAATGAATACTACACTGGACAAGCATTATCAGCGTCAAGTTCGTGAACTCCAGGTCTTCTGCTCTCATCGAAACAGAGGTTGTGAGTGGACAGGCGAGGTGTCGTCTTTACATGCCCATGCCAAGTGTTGTGTCAAAAAAGATTCCCCTATAATCCAACAACTAGGTATGTGAGGGTACATACGTATGTGCCTTCTTTTCAGTTGTTTTATAATTATCAGGAGTTGGAATCCTACTCGTGGAAAATGCAGTTGTGGTACTGGACCAACTCATCCCACTGACCAACTTTTCGCACCAACTTGGAATAGCACTGGAACTACCTAAAGAGGTTGTAGATAAAATCCATGCAGAACACCAAAGAGCACCTGATCGTCTCCGGCACATAGTTCTAGAATTTTTAAGCAGCACCCAGCCACTTCCAACATGGACAGCCATCATTGAAGCACTTCAGGCCCCAGGGTTGAACCGATTTAAACTGGCTGAGAAGATAAAACAGAAGTTTTTAACCCCAGTGGACACAAATGCAGGTATATACATACAATTAAGTAAAAGTGAGTTAACCCTGTTGTCTAAATGACACAATTTAAGACTGTATGTACATACCTTTGATTTTGCACTTCTTATTACGTCGGATAAGCCTCAGTTTATGTTGACCTAGTAAGAGAAGCCTTACGTTTTGTTACACTCTTCAATGTCACCCAAAGCTTCAGATACTTATAAATGGAATTGAAGGTGAGGTACACAGCAGTCAGTATAACTATCCAAGAATGCTTCTGTACTGTCTACGAAGACTCAAACTCTTCATATGTGTGAACATGCCAGGGAGGTCGCGTTGTGAAGCTATATGCTTACTCCCGTTTCCTAAGAATCCTGTTCTGGTTTGCAAGTGGAAGTGAGTTAACCAAGTTTTCTCAATGGTCCGATTTTTCCCATTGTAACTATTTGCATGCATTTAGATGACATGCTTCTTTCTTCGCCTTAGCTACCTCTCATCACACATGCACTATAGTAGCTTGTCTGTGTTGTATCTATGTCTGCTTTTCTAGCACTTTAAGACGCAGCAAAAAGCATTACCGAATGCCTCAATGCTAATGGCTTACCTGGACTTTAGTAATCGTAATTTAGAGGCATGAATTCCAGTGCTCGAATTAACGTCCAGTAAACGGACAATTTCCGGTCAATTATTGCGTGAGCAGTCAAATGTAAAGTTGAGCGGCAAGGATGTCCAGGCGAAAGCGTCCGTGTGCAGTCACTACCGGTGAGACGCCCTTAACCTGTGTACCTCCCGCGAAGCGTGGAGCTAAAAAACGTACAGCGGACAAGTGGTTATGACAAAGAGCTAAACACATCCGTTTGGCTTAGGTATGAGCTAGCTGACCGTGACCACGTGGTCGCACTGAAGTGCGCAGTATGCGCGCAGTTCAGAACGAGGCTAGAGTCGATGCGCACTATCGTTCAGCCTTTATCGATGGTATAACTAACGTTCGTACCTCAATGTTCAAGGAACATGCTAGAACAGACATGCACACTCGAGCAATGTCTCTGTTCAAGAAGCAGCAATCTAGCAGTGTGTTAGAATACGCACCAATTGCTAGAGCACTTACTAATCTGGCGATGGACGTGCGGTCAAAGCAGAAAAAAGGTTTCGTACATGATAGCAAAAGAGAAGTTTGTATTTACTAAAATGCAATCTCTGTGTGACTTGGAAGAGAAACACGGTGTTGACTTGGGTCCAGGCTATAGGAACGATCACACCTGCGCCACCTTTATTGATTACATCGCCCACGATTTCCAGCAGCAACTAGTAGCTGCACTAAATCAGCGTAAATTTTTCAGCCTCCAAGCCGATAGTAGCACTGACACAGGAAATACAGACAATGAGCTATTTCTTGTACTTTACTTTGATCCCCACTCCACAGATAGCAAAGCCTGTGTGCGGGATACATACCTGCCAACCGTCCCGATATTACTACGTTAACCCGACGTCCCGCCTGCCGGCGCTGGAATTCCTCATTTGTCCCGATATAGGCGAGCATTCCACCCGCCACACCCATGTAGTGTACCACGCATACGTTCACACAACGGCAGAGGCGGCACTCCAGCGGATCGGGGAGGGGCTGCTCGCGCACAGCCGGCCGACACCGATCACTTGGGGAGGCCCCCCCTGGTGCTTAGCTCACATGCTTGAGCTCTCCCTGAAGGATGCACTGAAAAATACCTTTTTCGGTGCAGTTGATGAGCTCTTCCTCCAGGTTTATTATGTGTTTGAAAGTAGCCAAAAGAAGTGCAGGGAGCGCCAAGAAGTAGTAGACGAGCTCAGGGCATGCTTAGAGCCTAGTGAACTCCCTCTACAAGGGGGTAACTGCCCTCTACATGCTTGTGGCACAAGGTTTGCTGCACAAAAAGTACCTGCTTTAGGAAGGGTTACTGACCGATTTGGTGTCTACCTGGCTACCTTGTAGCCTTGACAGAGGATAGCTCAGTCACTTCTTCTTGTCGACAGAAATTGAAAGGCTACAGTGGCACAACTCTAAAGATATTCTAGGTTGTGCCTATTTTTCATGACCTGCTTCAACCTGTGGCCCACCTTTCTAAAGTCTTGCAACAAGACCAGCTTTGTGTTGTGCAAGCTATTGAAGTTTTCATGAAAACAAAGAAGAGCATTGAACACCCTTTGAAGAGCTGCCTTCTGTAAAAAAGGTTCTTTTACATGTTAACGATGAGGCTGGGTCTATTACCTACCAGGGGCAGGACCTGACTAGGCATGAGGAAGGTATAACTTTCCTCAAAACTCATCAAAATGAGTATTTTGAGGCTGTAGATGCATGCATTCAAAACCATGTAAGGGCAGGAGAGACAGAGATACTTTCCCATGCTGTTACAATCCTGACAACACATGGTTAGGACCGCTCTCGTACTCCAGCCTTTGCTCACTCAGCCTTGAATGCTGTCTGTCAGCGTTTTTCTACTCCCTTGGAGGGAGCTGGTATTGATATCTCCCTAGTTCAAGGAGAGTGGGATGTATAAGATGACTACAGTGTTGTGTTACTGTGTTGATGCCAGATAATGTGGTAATGTGCTGGCCATAGTTGAGATTCTCTTTTGCATACCAGTGGCTAATGGTCACTTAGAGAGGGTGTTTTCATAACTCAAGCTCATTAAGACCAATCGGGGCACTAGCATAAAGAAGAATACCCTTGACCAGTTAGTAAGTGTCAATGTGGAAGGGCCACCACTCTCTGAATGGGATCCTGTCTGTGCTATGCAGTTGTGGTGGAGAGAAAAGGTACAACGTATAATAGAAATGATTCACCCTCAACATCAGCTTCAACAGCAGGTCCAACATCCCCTGAGAATCCTGAAGAACCTCAACAAGAACAATTTGACTGGGAGGAATGGAAAGAACTAATTTGTGAAAGGACCAACTAACTTAATGACAGTATACAGACTACTTATATTGCATTTAGCAATTCTATTCTTCATAGTTAAGTTGTACTCCCTTCTTGTACTTAAAGGTGTATGCCTTTGCCTATTATAACATTATTCCACCCCCATGCACCATTGCCTACATTAAACGTTTTATAGTGTCTGGTCAAAGGTATTGCATGTCTGACAAAACACGAAAGTTAATTCGAGCACTGGAATTCATAAGTCAGAGGCAAATATTAAGTGTAGCTTCCGCTACATCCAAATCCCATATATGAACCATCCACTTCAAATGTGATGGAAATATTTCAATTCTACAATTATTGTAGTCAAAGCTTCCTTTCTACAGATTATTTTTCTTTCTTCAAATACGATGGCTTTTAGGGCCACCGTATTAATTGCCATCCATTGTGAACATTTTGGTGATTCTATTTACAATTGTAGTTTAGTTTTACTTCCATTCACTTCTACAGACTACTTTTTCATTCTGCAAATGGATCCCCTTGGCACATTCGCTACATTAATTTTTACGTGATTAATGAACATGGTACCAATGGGCCTTTCTGATCTGTGCTAGGATTATACGCTCGCCAGAGTCTGTCCAGACAGTGAGAGACAGGTCTCTCATGCTGAGAGATCTACAGAATCCCGTTACCTGCTCGGTCACCGCGCTTGCTATGCTGCTGCTTTCACCAAAGACTGAGCCAAAGACTGCCTACATGACTTAGCACATTCTGGAGCATGCTTGGCTGAACACAAGTGTTGGTGGTATCTAGCTACCACGGAGAACAGAACAAGGCTAGCTGCTACATGTATATTTTTGGCAGAGAGTGATTAGTCTATCTTTTCCATGCGTATAATTCGTTCACCCCACTTGCATGAATATAGCCTACACCTGTCTGTAACTCTATGTTATACTGTAGTTGTGTCGATGGGCTGGCCCCATATCCTTAGTTAAGCACTGAGTAGAAAGTTGCGTCGCTCATGTATTACGAACTGAGCACAAGTGGCAAGAGGATGTGTTTGCAGACTGAAATAGCCAGAAAATAGAATAATATAATGGAAGTAGCATGTTGTAAAATTGAATGGACCATTGTAGAATGGAAATAACCAAATTTTCGACTGTAAGGCAGAGGTTTGTACAAACCTTGCAGTAAATGTCATACTCGCAAAGCGCAGTAGCTGTAACTGCTGGCGGGCTGCTCAAAAGCAGGGCTACTAGCTTCTGCATTTTTGGCACTATATGAATATAGAGTTTGCTGCAGCATCCAAGTATCTTAATAAGGCCTTGCCTCCATTCTTTGCTGCTGTCGTGGCATATGCGGGAAGTATGGCCGCTTACAGTCTTTGACAGTCACTCTCTCAACAAGATGTGTTGTTGTCAGCAGGTGCTTGTTGGCGAACATGAAAAGTGGACCCGGAGATGTGGCTCTACTACAGAGATAGTTTAGCAGAGCAGCAATGGGCAAAGCTGTGTGCCTGTGCGACCGACAAGAATGGCAACTTCTTTCCAAATGGGTCCGTATTTTATTGTTCTGTAGTTAGCCGCAGCAGAAAATTCAATGCAGCACAGTGGAGACTACCACTTATGGGGTTTAGAGGATCAGTGCTTCCAGGACACCTCTGGGGATGTTGGTTGATTTCCACTCTGCTTTGGGGACGAGCTGTAGGAACAAATTAGTCAAAGTGGATCTGCTACACCACCAAGGCGTTCTGGAGCTCCCATTCCCTCAGCATAAGGGCGACGTCTGCTCCTCCCCATTGCATATATACTTCCAAGCAGAGCAGATTCCTCCCACTCTTCTGCACCAGGAAGCCCGAGGATGAAGAAGTAGTCTAGGTAGTGCATCCATTCCTCGAGGCCGTGCATACCGATTACCTACATTAGTGCATCAGCTACTGCTGTGAATAGCTGCATGATCGTAGTTTGAACGTCAACACTCGACCTACACATCTCCTGCCCATTTCACCCCCACGGTGTGCAGGGTACACCAGCACAATGCGATAAACACTCTCTAGATCGAACATGGCAAGCAATGCGCCTCTGCCGAGCCGGCAAATGCTTCCTAGATGAGTACATATAATATGTAACACACAGTATATAACAGTCCCTGTGTCTCTGTTACTACAATAAAGTTTTAACCCTCGGCGCGCATGCAGCGAGGGTTATAGTACTTGGTTTGTCATTCCGTCTGTCCGTCCTTCAGTCCGTCTGTCTGTTACCACGTTTTCTGCCACCATGTGCAACAAACCGGGCAAAAGCGACACGAACGAGTTCAGCGCTACACTAAATTGTCGTAAAAGTGCTGCGTTCAAAAGTTATGGCATGAAAGCCAAGTCAACAAGCCAATATGCTAATTAGTACAGGCTTACCTTGACCAGCAAGAAGTCACAACGAAGGGCGAGTATCGACTCCCGCATACTGTAGTGAGCCCATGTCAGACTCTCCGCATGCTACTAGCGGGAGACCACAAGTAAACGCATACTAATAGCTCCGCCCATCTATTAGCGGTACCACGCATGCACAGTTCGCCGAGGTTTTGCACTTTGATTATGATGGTATTAGCCTCGTTCACGTTCATATTGTCAGCCTTGCCTTTTTCTTAGGTTCCTGGAAAGCATCGGACGTTTACATGGGCATTTGTAATTTAGTACTTACCTATGCTCTTAAAAAGCCTATTAATGTGTGTGACTCCCTTAAGTACTGCACAACCCTCATTGCCTAATGGGGTTGGTTTGGAGGTATCGTGCAAGGTTTCAACGGATTTTTAGGCTCATACACATGGTCAGTGGGCGGGCTTTACCTAACGCTGGCACCCGTACTTATTACTCTTACATGCACATCTATACTTGCACGCACCCCCTAACGGATGGGTGGAGCATGGGGCACCCAGCCAGCATGGCTGATTCTACGCCAAAAAAAAAGGATTCCAGCTTGCCCCATGATCACCCATTCTTGACCTCGCCCCTCTATCCTACGCCCCTTGTCTTGCACTGCGGTAGAAAAACAATGTATATGAACTAGGGGAATATGACAGAGCTTGTGCTTAGGTTAATGCTTAGGTTAGTGTGTGCGTACAAGAGTTTGAGAGACAGAGGCCTGTTGGGACCGCGGGAACTTTATGTAGACTTTGTACGCATCACTGCGCCATCTCCCCACCGTCTGTATCAGGGAGTCTTCTAGCCCTTGAGCTGCTGCCGTTGTGGCTGCCCCTATACGGAAACTATGGCCATTATACAAGGAGTCATCGAGACCTGCCCTGCTCAGTGCAGCTTTGAGGTTTGAAACAAGATACGCCCATGTAAGTGGGGTCCCTGTGCTTGTGACAAAAGGGGGCCCGGGTCTGAGTTTCGTACGGTGTGCTATATATCGGATGATGGCATCCACAGGGCAGAGAGAGGTGGTGGTTTTTCCCAGATATACGTTCACCCCCTGCCTAAATGGATCGGTCTTGCTCTGTTTGATCCTCAATTGCACCATAGTCGGGTTACTGTGGTTGTCGAGGGCAAGGTCGTTCAGGTTCAGGTGGACGGAGGGGTCATATGCCTCCGCAGAGGGGACTGTAAATTCTCCGACTCAGAGAAAACCAAAGAATCCGGCGCACGCAGCCGCCCAGAGCACGATCCGGTCCGGGCTCTGGGGTTCCCCGAGCCATACTCTCTGCAGTGACTCCATGATGTCGATAGTAATCAGTAGTCTGGTCCGGGAGACCGACCCCGCTTGCGCCTTGGCACATTTCGCTCCGGCTAGTACATATTACAAGCGAGGTATCTGGCCGTTTGCAAAAGGGGTTGCCTAGAGCTTTCTTTATCTGCAGGTACCTAATTCCAGATAGGTATGCTTTCAAAGTGCGGTGCTTCAGGCCTTGTCCTGTCAGGATGGCTATGTAGCTGCATAGCACTTCCTCTTTTAGGGGGTAGGGGTGAGACACTCCATATCTCCGGCAAAAGGCCGCATAGCGGCGCTGGACCGAGGCGTATGATGTGCGGGTGGAAGCTGCAAGGCTGCCATCCAAGAGGCACTCAACAGCCACATCCAATTCGGCGAGTTCCAGTGGAGGCTGCTGTTGAAGACTATCTCCCTCAGCTCCTGGGGTATGATGGCCAGTACAGCTGACACATGTGGATTAAGGGCGAGGAACAGTGGGAGTTTGTTCCTAGACAGTGCATCTGCTGATTTGTTTTGAACCCCGGGGAGGTGGGTTGCCGATACGCGTATGTCTAACACCGCCGTGACAAAGGCTAAAGTCCGGAGCAAGTGAGCCAGAGTATGATCCCTGGCCTTCCCTCTGTTTACTGCTGCCACCACTGCGGTATTATCGCATAAGCAATGGATGCGTTTGCCGGCCCAGTAGGGGCCCCAGAGTGTTACCCAAACCACTATCGGGACTAGCTCTTTAGCCGCGATGGAGACTGATTCCCATGCCGGTGGCCACTGGAGTTGAAACCATAAATCCTCGTACGATGCGCCACAGCCCCAGAAACCAGATGCGTCCGACACCATGACCAGTGGGATGTTCATTGGCGGAGTTATGCTAACTCCATTCCAGGTGTGCAGGAAGGTGGACCACCATGCCAGGTCCGCTCTGGCACCCATGTCGAGGTGCGCCCAGTGATCCAAGTCCCGCACTGCTGTGGAAGCATCTATGAGGCTCCGCAGGAAAGCTCTTCCTGGTCTTACCACCGTCGCAGCATGGTTGAGTAGCCCTATCAGGGATAGCAGGTCCCGTTTCTTCATGGAGCTGCAGCAGCTGTGCCGTGCATCCACCGGTTGAGAGTAGCCTGAAGGCGGTCCTGCTTGTCCCAGGGGGAGCCGGGCTCAGCTCCTGCTGCACGCTATCAATTTCTATTCCAAGAAACGTCAGTGTGGTTGTGGGGCCCTCTGTCTTCTCAGGGCTACCGGGAACCCCAGCTCGCCACATAGAGACAACACAGTATTTAAGTCCCGCTGGCAGTCGGGCTGGGTAGCTGGGCCCGAGACAAGATAATCGTCGAGGTAGTGGAGGGCCCTTTCAACGCCTCTGCCGTGCAGGATCCACATCATGGCATCTGTGATGGCCGAGAAGAGCTTTGGTGCAGAGCGATGGCTGAAGGAAAGGAAGCACTAGCCATGCGGGGTATGATTTGGTAATTGCCATGGATTATGGATTATTTCAATCCAATCATGGTAAATCAGGTCTACATGACCTATCTACAGATGTCCAAGCCCACTTCTGTGGTGCTACTGCTCAGACTCTCTATGTCTCCTTGGCTGGCCTCGCTGCTGGGCGGTGTCTCGCCGGTAGTATGTAGGGGCGCTCCTTACAAGATGAGGCCGGGCGGCTCCCATAGCAGGTGAGAGACACATGAGCATACTTGCATACCCCTGGGTATCGGCAGCTGCCCGCATTCCAAGAGGCACATATGGGTCGCTGCTGAGGGTAGGGGGCTGGCTGCTTCCCTTTCGTGCTTAGGCGGTCTCCAGGGGGTGGTGTCCTCTCCTGACGCCACGGGCCTGGGGTGTAAGGCAGCCACTGCACACTCCGACGCTGCGTGGTCTATTTCGTGACAGTGTTTGCATGGGGTTGCAACTTTGGACCTCTGTCTGGCAATGTAGACTTGATGAAACGAGGTCCCATCGAGCAGCCGGCCCTCCTGGTTACGCCGGAAGACAGAATCTTACGCAAGCCATCCAGTGCCACCGAACTTACTAGCCTCTCTGATAATTATTCGCATGTATGCCAGCATGTCGGTAACCCGTTCAGGGTGGGCCTGGGCCACTATGGCAGTATACGTTGCAAATGAGGAGACCCAGGTCAGCAGGGCTGCGGTCTCCTCCGATCTCCCGTTCTCCCAGCATTTTTTGCATGGCCATCCCTGTAGGGAGCACTGCTAGCTTCTCTGCAAAAGCTATGTTGTCTGGCAGTAGTTCCCTCATCTCGACAAATTCCATGGCTTGGATCCGTTTGACCAACTTAGCCGGCACAGGGGCGAAGCTCGATGAGAGTTTGAACGCGGAGGGCTTGGGGGTACCCGTATCTGTACCCCCGCTTCCTCCACTAATCGGGATCGTCACCTTCGGAAGAGAGAAAGAGGTCGTAGTTGCTGTGAGCAGGCCAGACCTGCCTGCTACGGCCACCGAGGCAGGAATAAGTGGAATGGAAGGCAACGAGAGGGGTAGACTGCATGGGGTCGTTGTCGACGAGCCTGTTGAGGATAAGCAGGAGTACCAAGCACGCCGACAAGTCGCGCCTACTAGTCCCCTAATGCCTACGCGCGCAATCTCATACCACTGCACAAAACACACGAATACCGGTATCTCTCGGCGAATCAGCTCCAAATTGAGAGATAGAGACGCTTGCTTGCTTGCTTTGGCACGCCCTCATTCAATGACCTGCCACTACTACCCTTCACCAATGCCTAGTCGTCCCTACATTAACTCTGTCTAATTGTCATTAAACATCATTAAAAATTTATGCACGAGTACAGGATGGTGTTCACATCACACAGACTTTTTCATTTTAATTGTTATTATTCATGGCGGGTGTTTCTCACTATGTATTTTCACCATGTTTAATCTTTAGCCATTGCAGAAATAACACCGCAAACTGAAGAATCATTAGAAGATGCACATTTCCGGATGCCTGACAATGCAGCAGCAATGACAGGGGTTAGACTTGGTTTTGGAACCTATTCTGACATGTTGGAGGTTACATACAAAGGCAGAAAATATGCTGCTAAAATATACAGAGAAATAGAATCCGAAGCAGTTATAGCATCATTTTGTCGAGAGCGTCAAATTCTCTCAATAATCCAACATCGTAATATAGTATCTTATTACGGCACATGTAATATAAGGGGTGGAGATACTACAGCAATAGTTATGGAACGGATGGAAAAGAACCTAAGCATTCATCTCAAAAATTGCAAATTAGTGGTTACACAAAAGCTTTCTCTTTTGAATGATGTTGCACAAGGCCTTGCTTTCCTTCATTCGCAACGACCACCAATTGTGCATAGAGATCTAACTGCTGCAAATATCCTTTTGGATTCAAGAATGGTTGCAAAGATCGCAGACTTTGGAAATTCTGTGCTGATCGATAATGAAACCCCCTGCCTACTCACACCTTTTCCTGGTACCACCGACTACATGCCTCCAGAAGCTGCAGATGGTGATTACAGTGAGAAGCTAGATGTGTTTTCGTTTGGTCATCTTTCAATTTATGTTTTAAATCAGCAGCAACCATGCCCACTACTTCAATGCACTTATGTAAAACAGGGAGAGGTGTTCGGGCGCTCCGAGATAGAGAGACGCAAGCAATATCTCGACAAAGTCATCGAATATTTAGATAGGGAAGATAAGACCTTTTTGTATTCCACTCTCAGCAGCTGCCTTCAAAATGAACCGAACTTACGACCGTCGACTAAAGGTATTATTGACAGTGGTGTGCTTTCAGTCGAGAAACACTAGCATTATGTCACTATAGTCAAAAACACCTGTAAAGTGTAAATTGTCTCCGTATAATATCAGATGACCCTCCTACAAACTGTATTGTGTATGTATCATGTGCTTGCATGTGCGGAGTGAGGAGTTTACTGTTTAGTCAACATCCACATTAAAACTCTTTGGAGCCCAAAGCCACTGTAATAATAACGTAACACAATAATTTGGGCCCCAAAGATCTCAAAAGACAAACAATGTCTGAGTTGCACAAAAAGGGATTAAGGTTGTACTAACTGTGAAGCAATCCCCGTGCTGTTTGTGACGGCTTTCGCACGTGCCCACTTTTTTGTGCATGATTTATGCGTGCTGCCTCTGACGTGTTTCTCTGCACATAATTATGTAAATGTGAAAAGCACTAGTGGCCCTCAGCATAGAGCCAGTGCTTTAGCATGTAGTGTTGTTGCATAATATAGCACATGTTCTCACACTTTCCGCCTTGCATGTAGAGCACTTTAACACTGCAGACATACTTTCATGAATGCTTACTCAAAATCATACCAGTCCTACGACTACACCATGTGGTCCGATCTCTGCTCTGACCCGCTCTGCGGATTGACACGCTCTTCGTCGGTTTCTGCGCATGCCTTTGTTTTTTGCACATGCCTATTAGAAAATGGCCGTACAATCGCAACCCATAATTAACAGGATAATTGCTCTTCCTCTCCAGCATTAAAGCATCTTCAGAAAATTGCAATGAAGAATACAGGGCTTCGTTTAAAGTGTGCAAAATGACTCGAGAAGCGAGATATGGAACGGACACACACACAGACACACAGACACACAAAGCAAGTACAGTACCGTTGTATATGCACGCCGAGGGTTAACAACGGGCAGTGGTAATGTTTCAGTACTCGAGACGAAACAGTTGTTCTTTGTTTAACTCCATGCCGTGAAAAGCAACACATCATAATCAAAGTTGTGAAAAAAATGAATTTCATGAATGAACAACAACATTAACCATGATAGTTAGAGAATCAAGGAGAGGATAAAGGTTCCAAGGGCCACCCAGTGACTGAGGAAGTTCAAATGAGCCCATTTCTTCAAAGTATGTGTATAAGAAAAACCCTGCAGTAGGATTAACGTCCCATTACATACAGGCATAATATAGTTCATATGTATAATATGTAATTAAAGGAGCTGCTCTGTTCACTCATGGTAAACAGACTAATGCACACCTGTTCCTGCAGCCCTGGTTCCTCGTTGGTGACATCAAACATGACACCAAGGTAGGCGAGGTGGAAGAGGTTGAGCAGTACAAACCCACTGTTCATGAGAACCACCCACCACTCCACACTCTTGTGACGGTGACCACACCCAGACTGGCTGCAAGGCCTGTCCAGGACACAGGCATTCAGCCTCTTGCTAAGCTTCATTCTCAGCACTGCAAACCAATTAAACACTAAGTAGCACTGTAGTATGAACTTTCGAACAATAGATAGCAGTAATAGTGCTGTAAAGTTGGCCAGTGATAAAAGTCTGATTATTGGGAAACGTACCACTTTCGATGAAGGCATAGGTTCCTAGAGAGAGCAAAACAGCAGAGAGTTGGAAGTTCATACCCTAGTGGGAATGAGTAATGGTTGATTATTACAATGGACACCAACCACAATATAGCTACGTAATTTTAATTATGTAAAGTAAGTATGTGAAGTATACAGAAGAGGTTCTGTCTAACTCTGGGATGATGTTATTCTGACACTCACATGTAACAGGGCACTGGTAGAGAATGTGAGAAGAACAGCACCAAACTGGCCAAGATAGCGACGAGATGGCTTGTACACATCTGAAGGAAGACATAATATTATCATAGCCTGGCTGCATGTGTTTTCCTCTTCTCACAGTTCTTTAGGAATTTGTGCATGGGCAGGTTCCAGTTAGTGGCTACCATTGACATGGAGCGTGGTATCTCAACTGCCACTGGATGCACCACACTGAAAGACCTGTGGAGCAGGAAGGTATATACAGCCCAGAACACAGTATATAAACCAGTTTGTAACTTTTGTCACAAGTCGATAAATCCTTGATATAAGAATAGCTCGAAAGAGAAAAAGGGCGTAAGGGACTACATTATACTATATGCACTATAATCGACACCTATGATACATACTCAAGGGCAAGTGGCTCACCAGGAGTCAATGTTGCTGTCATAGCCAATGCCAGAGGCGATGGTTGAGCTCTGGGAGAGGAAACTAATGAAATAGTGGCTGTAGCGGAACGAGGCAGCTGCCATGTAGGCAGCCAACCACCTGAGGAGTAGCTAGGTCTTTTTGGTAGTGATTGTATTACAATTTCTTACTTGTTGTATTGAGGTTCGTTTAGGAGGAAAGGGAGGACACAGACAGAGAGCCCGAGACACACAGCAGCAACAACCATACTGGATACAATCTTCAATGCCCACCTTGTGCTCTGAGCAAAAACAATGCTATCCTCTATACTGTAGACTACACTACTAAAAGCTATGTAGTTGAACAGTTCACTGTGTGTATGAAAGAGTAAAGTTTGCTAACCAGAGGAGTGGCATGAAGAAATTTAGAGTGGTCAGTGTAGGTGAGGAAAGGGCCAAAGACAGTGGTTCCAGGGAAGAGACAGTAGCTCATGTAAGAGAACAGGTCCGGGATGCTGGACACAATGGCCGGTTTCTGCTCCCCTTTGATGTCCGGATACCCCTCCAGGTCAAAGGCCAGTGAGATGATCTTCATTACCACAACCAAGAACGACCCTGAAGGGAAATGAACACCAATGGAAACTCACTAGGGGAGACCTTATTTTTAATACAAGTATTATTCCATGATGTATTTCCTTTATATGTTATTCATAACCCCCCAAAAGATAGCATAGCCACATGCTCTTGTTTAACGTCATGAGGATATGGCTACCTTACTATCCACTTTGTGACATTGACATTTGAGGGATAAAACACGCCATTTCCAGCGAGTTTGGTGATAGAGCACCCTGTTTTTCCAGAATCTTGAATGCACCTATTATTCTTGTGAGTTGCTTTTAATTCACAAAGGCATCACACGTGTCAGCATCATCTGTGCTGCAGGATTATTTAGTGTTGGTTTCATGGTAGTGAATAGTAAATCACCTCTGACTTTATGCCATTCTTCTTTCGATGCAATGAAGAGCTCACTATATAAGAAGGCTATTTGGAATGAGAACACAAACACCACCCCATGCGGCCTACCAGGAGAAGATGAAGAGCACACAGACAATTGCTATAAGGGCGCCTCTCCCTCTAGGAACCAGCGCAAACAGCGGGTATAAAATCCCACAGAGAACGATGAAGTATGCCACGCTTCTCTCATAGTACCACCAAAGGACCAGGAGTCCCAGGACAGTAGCCACGAGGCTGATTATTCTCTTCTGGAGACCACTGTAGAGCACTAGCAGTCGGAGCAAGAGACTGGGCGCCACTACCGACAGTCCTACAGCAAACGCTTGTTGCACTGTTGGCTGGAAGCATTTATGCAGCATCCACGACCATTGCATGCCTGCAGTTTTCTTGCTCGGAACATGAATACGATCGCGACGACTCACACAGCGGTTAGCTATGGTGCGCTACAATTGAAAACATAACGGTTCTAAATAAAGCCCATTGTGTACGTCAGGAAGTTGACGTGGCTTGAAAGCTGAGTTGGCTGGCTCGCGGTGACCGGGCAGTCCGTAGAGTCGTTCCCTAGTGTGAAAATGGCTGCGGTCAACGAGTGCCCCGTGGCCTGTGACTCGGCCCTGTCGGTCATGATGGACGACTTGGAGGAGGGAACTCTACTCTCTCTGTTGGAAGATCGGGAGTTCCTCAGCTACTTGCAGACCCTCCCAATGACGTCGTCGGGTGGCGGCGAGCAAGAGGTCGAGGAAACTGACCTGGATCTTTCGGAACTGTTTGAAGACGGTGTCCTCCTACCAGACTATTTCCCTGGCCACCGCAGCAAGAGCAACCCTCCGCTTGCCGACATAGGGTCAAAGGATTCTGGCGTGTCGGTAGAGAGCTTGGCCAGCGACAGTAGATCAGGGAGTACATCTCAAGTCAGTGGCAAAGAGCCACAGTCACCTGTTCACTCTGGTGGTAGTGAGTCAGACATCAGTAACCTTGATTCCAATGACAGCGATTCAGCAGAGGATTCTCCGGCCATCACCTCTGGACCAACCAAGCGACGTAAAGTTGATAGCATTGGACGTGTACACGGCAGGTCACATCTGACATCTTGTGTTGAGCATGACCACTGCTACACTCGTGTCTCGTCATCCGAGATACTTCATTCACCTGGCAGCAGTCTCGCAGATAAAGGTGCACCTAATGAAGAGGATACGGGTGAGTCGTTTTCAACACCATAACCACCTCTGTCCTAACCTTGCTCTCAGGCGTAAGTTTAGCTTCGAGGTGTTCCTACTCCGCCCCCACACCCTCTCAAATGCCTGGCATGCTTTTTCTAGGGGAGCAATCTGTGAAAAGGGCTTTGCCTCCCTTAATTATGACTTTTATATTAAGTGAGCCAGCCTGAAAATATTATTGTCTACTTGAAGAAAGACTACACTGTATGTATTCATACAGCAAAACCACAATTAACTAACAATTAAGGCTTCCACTTATGTGTATGTGCCCTGTTGAATCTACACCCCCAGGCTATGAGACAATGTCCAGTTCTACCTCTCCTGGAGGAGGGCCCACACTTCCCTCCTCCTCCCCCACTGCACACCAGACCACCTCCCTCCTGCCCCCTCCATCTCTCCCTCCTCTCACCACCACACCTCACATTAACCCTGTGGCTCTCATTGATGCCAGAATCAAGGTAACATATACAGGACATTTGTGGACCCTGTGCATGTACTGACACGGCAATAGTGGATGGTTTGTGTCAGTTTGTCAGGCACGGTCTTAGTTGTACAGTAGTCAGTATCTGTCTACACTTCCAAGAAAACGTGTGTATGCTTCGCCTTTGCCTTGTACTGTACAGTAGAAGTCAAAAAAACGTTTCCAAAATCGTTCACCGTTCAACCGTTGAACGGCGTTCACCGTTCACCGTTCATCCGTTGACCGTTCATGTTCGCGGCTACGCAACCCGCGATACGCGCTAAAAGCTATCGACGAATTCACCACGGCGGAAGTTCAGCACCGAAATCGACGGTTATTTTTGGCAACTTTTGATGCCGTGGCCTTTGCCAAGGCTTATGCTGTGGTAAAAGCACGCCTCGCTACTTCAGGATAGCGTACGGCCGTAACTAGAAAAAGTGGGAGTGGCACACGCGCGGATAATTGTCGAACGGTCTGAACGGTGAACGGCGTTTCTCCGTTTCCGTTTTCTGTTTCGAACGCCGTTCAACGGTTGAACGGTGAACGATTTTGGAAACGTTTTTTTGACTTCTACTGTACCTCGTTGCACATGCACACACCTGTACTTTAGAGTTAGGTGTCATTACCCCGGTCTGCTTCTTCATACTGAGTGAGAGCATACTGTGCCATAGCAACAGTGGTTTGAGGTTTGCCTTTGTATTGTGTTGAAGATTTGACCCCCCACCAGCTGAGTTGCCCTGGTACTCAATTGGTACGTATATAGAGTGCTTGCCTAGACAGCAGAGTGTGGTGGGTTCTGATTCCACCTCGAGTGGCTCTTCTTTTTTCCTTGAATGAGAAGAGCTGTCCTGGGTTTACATAGTTGACTCGTTTGCTTCGCCTTTGCCTTTTTATATGCCTCGTTGTTGCCATTAGGATAGAGTGTAATGTTTTGTTTTCCACAGCACTTCATGCGTAGCCAGCAGGTGTGTTTGAGTGAGGAAGAGAAAGAGACACTGAAAGCTGAAGGTCTTCCAATCCCAACAACTCTCCCTCTCACCAGGGTCAGCCAGTTTGCTATGCTATAAAACATTCAATTTTATGACTTTGTGTCTTCGTATCCACTTCTCAATGCACTTTTGACCACTAGATACATACAGTACCAAGCTGTATTGTGGTACTGCCTGTATTGAACATCTGTGTGCATGCGCAGGGAAAATTCCATGTGTCTTTCTGCCTGTCTGTTCCCTTTAGCCAAGTTTTTTTATGAACTCTAGCTAGCCTGCAATTGGAGTGTAGACAGTGCTCTTGTACACCACTATGCACCTTTTCATAACACACATGCTCAATGGATTGCACTTACGTAGTCAAAAGCCCACTGCCTGGTACTGTATAATAATGTACACTCAAAATTTTCTACCAGGTGGAGGAAAAGGCACTCAAGTCAGTGCGTAGAAAGATCAGAAATAAGGTATATACTTATGTAATACTCCAGATAGTGATATTTCATTGGCTGAGGCTGCCCTGTAGGCCTTGATCCTTAGCCCTAGCCCCTAGCCTATTCCTAGCCTAGCTTTACCTTTGTGGGTCCCTAGAACGCGCGTAGAATCCGTTGCGCTTACGGTCCGTATATTACAGTTCATCCGACTGTGTGGTATGTTGATTATAGAACTGTTTGTGCCTCAGGTTGCTGCTCAAGAGAGTCGGAAGAGAAAGAAGGAGCATATGCAAGAGCTGGAAGACAAGTATGTCGTTACTCTCCAGTAGTAGCCTTGTTCCCAGGTTCTTTCCGTGTATGATCATTGCGTGTGTGGGATAGTTAAAAGTGGGGATGGCCTGGTCTCACCGTGATTGTGTGAGGCAGATGTGGGATATAAATGCTTGGTTATCACACACAGTTTGCTACAGTACACGCCAAAAACAGTTCCCACTACGCCGCCGTAGTACGGTGATACCGTAGCAAAATGTTCTACGGTACTTCTACGGTAGAGCACCGTAGCTGCGGTACGCTGCGAGGGTGTGGCCCACCGTAGTAAAGTAAATGGTGGCAGCTAAAGGCCTAGCAAGCGACGAGCGTTGTTTCTAAAGCTGAGCGTTAGCTAAGAACACTAGCGTTGTAGTGCAGTCGTGTCTAGCATTGCTACTGCTGCTTGCTATTGCTTCTCGCTATCCTTTGTGCCCGCTGAGCGTGCTGACGCGACATGCGTGTGTGTGACTGCGCCCACTAAACCACGTATCGACATGGCACTGGCCGTCAGTACTGTCGCTGCGCCGTGTGGATATCCTGGTCGTACAGCTAGCTAAAGCTGCATGGGGCAACGCTGCTTGGTATCTGGGTCTTAGTAAACTATGGCTTACTGCGCCGTAGCAGGTCTACGGCTTCCACCGTAGTATGGCGTTGCTACGGTAGCAGCAGCGTAGCAAGACCGTAGTTCTTACTACTACGGTACGGTAGTGGGAACTTTTTTTTGGCGTGTACTGTACATTTGACCATTGTGTTACTAGCACTACTCAGAGACATCGAATCAGCCCTCTTTCAATATTGCAGAGTGAGGCAGTGTACCAGTGAGAACCTACGACTGCAGAAAAAGGTGGAAAATCTGGAATCTGAGAACAGGTAAGATGTATGAGATGGCTCCCGATTGATAATTGGCCTCTATCGCACGCTTTACTCTGGTTTAAAGACACTTATGCGTAATTCACGTAAAACACTTTGCTTGCTTTTTGCTCACCAACAGTGTTTTCTGTTCTGGTAATTACCTGCATTAAAATGTATGTACCACCTGCCACAAAAATGCAGGAGTTTGCTTACTCAGCTGAAGAAGTTCCAGGCACTGGTGTCAGGCTCCGGGAACAGCCGACACACCACTAAAGTTGGAGCTTGTCTCATGGTATGTGTATACTGCCACTACCTACAACTCTTTATTGCTTTTCCTTGTGTTCAGGTGGTTGTGCTGTGTTTTGCGGTGTTGCTGGGAGGTTGGGTTCCAAACCATTCCTACTGGACCTCTGTATCCACTGACTATGCCACCACATCTGGTGAGGGAACAGTGAGAGCTCAAACTCTCTCTTATATGGATACAATATGCATGCTATTGTGTGTGCACTAGCAAAAAAGATATTTTAAGAAAGGAAAAGAAATTACCACAACCCCACAACCTACCAACACACAGAAACACAAATACACATGTGATACACAACTCCACACATTACAGCAACTATTTAACCGAACCTGTACATAGTATAACATGAAAACGGACACCAGATGCCTAGTCTGGGACAGTGGGTGGGCATGTACATACATATATGTCAGCTACTGTAGATACGATCTAGCTGCCAGTGTATTACTGGTCAGTAATCAGTATGTATTAGTTAAAGTACAGGCGCGAGGCTGTACAGGATATAATTTGCACTACGCCTAGCGCTAGATGTTGTGATAAGGACTTCCTGTCCAATACTCAGCCACAGCTCAGAATACAGCGTATATTCCAAGCGCCTGATCGTTTGAAGTTGGACTACAAATGCTACTATGTAACGTTTGCACTCCAGCTAACATGTTTGCTAGCTTTCTACTTATTTGAGTCTTTAGCGTAAATGTGTGTATTGTAGATGTAGAACAAGTCAAGCTACATCTTGTGATGATGTATCTCATCTCTGTGTGCAGTTCGTTCCAGGTCTCTCCTGTCGGTGGAGGCAGTCAACAACTACCACACCTTCCCTCACGCCGTGTGTGACTGGTTCCGCTACATCTTCCTGTCGGACAGGTCTACGGAGCACCACCACTCACAGTCCACGGCCCACCACAGGGCACACACTGAGCGTGCCTGGCCTGACATCTTCCTCAGTAGCTACACCCCTCTGACTGGGGGTGACCAACACAACAATGACACTCCTGCAATCGCCGCCTAGACATTTGTTCTAGGCAACATTAATAATCAGGGAATTTGTATAATTGTACCGTGCACTATTATAACAGTGTGTTTGTGTGCGCACAGTTCTCACACAAAATTCCACAATGTGCTTGCAATACCAACTGCAATGCTCATAAAGTTGCTTGGCTAACGCGCACAAAAGCTCCAATAACAACTCTCCCAATAGCGAACATCCGTAACGGACAAGTGTGGAGGTATCCTCTGAATAATGGACACAGTGGGGGGCGAAAATTCTGAGGTTGTCCCTTTCTCGGAGGTTCTACCCTGATTATAAATATAAACCACAAAGCCGTGAAGTAAGTACTGATCGAGAGTTAACTGTTTGTGGGTCTTTAGATTTCATGAATCTGTTCTGTCTACAGTTTTGAAATGCAACTCTAAGCAAGTTAACTGCTAGCTACACTAAACCATATAGCTTCTGGCTGCAGAACATGTACAGTTGTATGAACAGTTGCCTCCCTGGCGCCTGGTAATAACTAGAACTATAACAGGCTGGTGTTACTGCAAGGAATAGCTTTTAGAGAGCAAGACTTCTAGTGCACTATTGGAAGTTAATGACATTGACATTCGTCACCAGTATGTTCACCATATTAGGTATATCAATGCCAATCGTACTGTGATATTGCAATGGCAGTCCTCTCAATCATCATAGAACCTTCTCTATTGTTGCTGATGGTGCAATCAGTGTAAGTGTCATGTTGACAAAAAAGAAAGGGTGACAAAACAGGGATGCGATACATTAAGCATTGTTATTGAACAGATTTGAGCACCCTGACACCCCTGTCTGTATCACACAATCCCTATATTGTTGCCTAGGTGAAGTATTACCCTAGGTGAAGTATGAGTGGAGACAAGGAAATAAAAAATCCTGCGAATATAGGGATGGTATAAAAAGAAAGGGAGACAAGATAGGGATTTTTTTTAATTTACTTGTCTCCACTCATTTTAATATCAATCTCTCTAAAGGGGGCAAACCCCCTATAAAAATTAATATAATAGAGAAAATGTCAGTTGTCATCATGCAATACGCATGCATAAGTTGTGCTTCCATTAGTGAGTTTGAAGGGTGAAGAAGTAAAGGCCTGAAGCTCTTTGTTGTTAATATGTAGTCATCATGGAAACGATGTCATACGCATGCATACCAAGTTTCATCTCCATGAGTGCTACCATTAGCATGTTTGAGGAGTGAAGAAAAGAAAAGTGCCTGAGGCTATTTGTTGTTGTTCAAACAATATTTGGTTGTCATGAAAACAATGTAGTATTCATGTATACCATGTTGAATCTCCCATTAGCAAGTTTGAGGAGTGAAGTAAAAAGGCTATTTGTTGTTGTTCAAACAATATGTAGTTGTCATGGAAATGGTGTAATACGCAAGTCTCCATGTTAACATTAGCAGAAGTGCCTGAGGCCATTTGTTGCAATATGTAGTCATCGTGGAAACATGTGGTAGTTATGGAAATGATGTAATACACATGTGTACCGACATTCACCATGTATAGTCTCTTCTACAAAGGTCGTCTTTTTTATATACAGAGTGGTTTCATTTGGCAGATTATATCACTAAGTACGGTAGTACTTAGTATATAGGGATTGACATGGTACCTAGCATCATAGATGTATGGGGCTATGATAGGGAGTTTTGTTCATCTTCTTCTTCTTCTTTTTCTTCTTCGACCAGCGTAACTCAAAAACCGAAAGAGATAAAGCCATGAAATTTTGTAGGAATGTGCGTATCGATAACCACATGTGCATCGTCATACTTTTTTCTTTGTAAACAATGTTGTTTACTGTAAACAACAACAAAATTGCCCCAGGCAATACATTATAATGGACATACATGTGTTAGTGTAATTCGTAAGAGCTATGTGAACGAAACTTTGTATACATAATGTATTCAATACCCAACATCAAAAACACAACAATACATATTTATATTGCCTCAGGCACTTTTCTTTAAATTTACTTCTTCATGTCTCAAACTCCTTAATGGTAAGACGCATAGAGATGAAACTTGGTATGTATGCCTATTACATCATTTCCATGACAACTACATGTTTCCATGACGACCGCATACTTTTTTAAGAAACCTCAGACGATTATCTTTGTAATTACTTCTTCACTCCTCAAACTCGCTAACTGTAGCATGTATGGAGGTGAAACTTGATACACATACGTATTAAACTGTTTCCATGACAACTACAACAACAAATAGCCTCAGGCACTTTTCTTTAAAATTACTTCTTCACTCCTCAAACTCGCTAACTATAGCATGCATGGAGGTGAAACTTGGTGCGCATGTGTATTACATCGTTTCCATGACGACCACAACAACAACTAGCCTCAGGCACTTTTCTTTAAAATTACTTCTTCACTCCTCAAACTTGCTAACTATAGCACGCATGGAGGTGAAACTTGGTGCGCATGTGTATTACATCGTTTCCATGACGACCACAACAACAAATAGCCTCAGGCACTTTTCTTTATAATTACTTCTTCACTCGTCAAACTTGCTAACGGCAGCACACATGGATGGTATGCATTTCATTTCCATGACGACAATTTTTTCTCTATTATTAATTTTTATAGGGGCTCTACAGAGATAATACGTAGTAGTATATAAAAATGAGTGGAGACAAGTAAATAAAAAATCCTGCGGATTAAAAAAGAGTGCATATAGGGATCGTATAAAAAGAAAGGGAGACAAGATAGGGATTGTGTTTGTGGAAGCACAGAGATGCTAGCGAGGAGTTAGGACTCCCACAGGTCATTACAACAGCCCTATATCGTCGTACGGTGGGAATACCTAGCATCATAGATGTAATGGGGCTATGATAGGGAAAGTTTTCAATCTTCTTCGTAGGGTGGGAGTGGGAGTGATGAGAGAGTCTGTAGAATATTGCTATAGGTAATGAAGTACTTACTAATTACCTTTGATAGATTTGTCATGCTACATTTCCATGGAGTGCGCCTTTAGGTGGAAGTGTAATCAGCTGACCATAACATTGGATATACATGTTTATACATGGAAACATGGAAAAATTGTGTAACGCAACAAAACAAAATTCAAGTATGCAAGGTTGGCTGATATATTATTCACGAGGAAGTAGTAAAGCACCGATACGACGATATAGGGCTGTTGTAATGACCTGTGGGAGTCCTAACTCCTCGCTAGCCATCTCTGTGCTTCCACAAACACAATTCCTATCTTGTCTCCGCTTTCTTTTTATACGATCCTATATGCACAATCTTTTTTTATCGCGAGATTTTTTAGTTACTGTATCACTAAGTATGGTAGTACTTAGTAATATAGGGATTGACATGGTACCTAGCATCATATATAGATGTGTCTGGGGCTATGATCGAGGAGTTTGTTCTTCTTCTTCTTCTCTTCGCTACGCGTAAACTCAAAAACCGAAAGAGATAAAGCCATGTAATTTTGTAGGAATGTACATATCAATAACCACTGTGCAACGACATACTTTTTGGTTGCTAAACAATGTGTGTACTGTAACAACTAAACATGTGCCCCAGGCAATAGCATTATGATGACATACATGTGTTAGTGTATTCACATTAATTGTAAGAGCTCTGTGAACGAAACTTTGTACTACATAATATATTCATACCTAACATCAAAAACACAACACCTATACATATTTATAAACAACAACAAATAGCCTCAGGCACTTTTCTTTAAAATTACTTCCTCACTCCTCAAACTCACACACATGAAAGTGAAACTGTGGTGTGCATGTGAATTACGTCGTTTCCATGACGACCACAACAACAAATAGCCTCAGGCACTTTTCTTTAAAATTACTTCTTCACTCCTCAAAACTTGCTAACTGTAGCACGCATGGAGGTGAAACTTGGTGCGCATGTGTATTACATCGTTTCCATGACGACCACAACAACAAATAGCCTCAGGCACTTTTCTTTAAAATTACTTCTTCACTCCTCAAACTTGCTAACTGTAGCACGCATGGAGATGAAACTTGGTACGCATGTGTGTAACATCGTTTCCATGACGACCACAACAACAAATAGCCTCAGGCACTTTTCTTTAAAATTACTTCTTCACTCCTCAAACTTGCTAACGGCAGCACACATGGAGATGAAACATGGTATGCATATCATTTCCGTGACGACAACAGGCATTTTTCTCTATTAAAATTTTTTATAGGGGCTTGCCCCCTTCCACAGAGATAATACGTAGTAGTATATAAAAATGAGTGGAGACAAGTAAATTAAAAATCCTGCGAATTAAAAAAAGAGGCATATAGGGATGGTATAAAAAGAAAGGGAGACAAGATAGGGATTGGGATACATGAAGCATGGTTAATGAACAGATTTGAGTACGCTGACACCCCCAACCCCATCACACCATCCCTATATTGTTGCCTAGGTGAAGTATTAAACATTCACCATTACAATACTCAGAACTTACAATGCACTACTGAGTAACCAACACCCTTATAGAGTCCAAGTGGAGTTTTATAAAGGGAATGTGGCAGTATAAAAACAACAGGGACATGGGAAAGAATGATTACGTTAGTAACCTTTAGCCCCTATAAGAGTAGCACACCAGGCAACAATATAGGGATGGTGTGATGGGGTTGGGGGTGTCAGCGTACTCAAATCAGTTCATTAACCATGCTTCATGTATCCAATCCCTATCTTGTCTCCCTTTCTTTTTATACCATCCCTATATGCCTCTTTTTTTAAATTCGCAGGATTTTTTATTTACTTGTTATTATAATCAGACTACAATGTCAGGTATATTACACAAGCTGGGGCACCAACAACCTGAGGTGCCCTTCGTGTATATTTTAGGCAAGCTGGGGCACCAACAACCTGAGGCGCCCAAGTCTAGCTATGCCGCTCTCTGTTTACGTGCAACCGTGGAACGCCATGCACAGACTCAGTTGCTCCCTGCGCAAACCAACTGCAAAATGTGGGTGTTACCCGAACACTTACTACAGAGGCACTCGCGACTGCCGAGCTCCCTCCGCACATCATGCCATTGCATGTGCACATTGCAGAGTCAAGCAGCAAATGGCGTCGTTCAGTGTCTTCCATGGAAGAGCTTCGCGATCTACTGTAGACTTGCGACAAGAAAGAAAC